ATAATAAGTCTATATAACATCCTTTTTAACATAAAGTCCGCTGTAGTTCCATTATACTCAAAGGATGATTGATATACTTCTCCAAAGTCGTGGTACCATTTGGCGGTTTTTGTTAAGTTCTGTAATCTGTTTTTGTATGTTTCATTTTTGGCAAAAGCGTCTTTCAAAAGAAAAAGACTGTGCATAAATCCAGCGCTGCTTTGAAGACTTTCCATGTATAAAGAACCCGATGCACTTCCATCAGTCCAACCTTGATCCTCGAGATAATCTAGGACGTTACAAATTCTTTCCAGGCGAGCTTGGTTTAAATATTTCAGTGAAAGGCGTACTTTAGCTTCTGTATAAGGCTTTCCCTGTGCTTTTAAGTGGTTAAGAAACTTGTCTTGCATTTGTTTGTCATCTCCACAAATTTGAGTAAGGGACGCACTGTCCTCTTGATTATCCTGAGAATTCAATTTTGATGTCTCCTTACTCACTGTTTTTATCACTTCGTCAGTTCGACATTTTAAGTGGAGTTCTATAGCCAGAGGCTGCAATATTTTTGTGATAACGAATCCATATTTTCTTAACCGTTGAGAGGAAGAATAATCTTTTGTTCGCCTAGCACATCTATGGCAAAAAAGGGAGGACCACTAATCACCTTTTTGCCGAAGACTGCGTTAAATTCGAGCCTTTCGTATTCAGTGTGCGCACTGTTGATACTTTCCTTAAGGGCGTTCCATCGGTTCCTCACAGGTCCCGAAATATCGTAGGTCGTTGTATTTTCGTCACAGTAAAAGTTTCTCAATCGACTCTCAATGAACAAAGGAGACTTTTGTCTGTTTGGCTGTTTAATTTTGTAGTGTTCAGTCTCCTCACCGCGCGCAATTGAGTAAACAAAGATGGCTACCAAAGCCAAAGCCCTCCTTCGATCGTTCGTTCAAGATGGCATGTAAAGGTTTAAAAAGTGTGATGTCTTTCTCTTAGCCTATAGTACTTATAGGGGCGTTGACAAGATTTTTAATATGCGTATATTGCTGAGTGCGTTGCAAAAAGAACTCATCTAAAGCAAAGTACATCGGCTGGGATGTGAAATTTTTGATTTACAAAATGCTACAATAGTCTTTTTCGGAGGAGGAAACGTATTTTCCAACTTTACTGAAACGTCCTGCCGACCCGGACAAAACGGAGAAAGGTAAGCTTATTGCTTAGGTGGCATGTTTTATCACTCAAACTGTGTACAACGTCTTGATCTTCAATTAGTTAGATGTTGTTGAGTTTTAAATAAGATTAGGTTTAGTTTTTCTGTTTCTTGCCAGGTTGTGAATTTCTGACTGTACTGCCTCTGAATGACGTACGGAGTGATGCATGTAGCGACTCAGAGACCTCCTTAATTTTTAATTTTTTTTCAAAACATTTTTCACCACGACCCCATCTATTAAAATAAGTTACCTATTTACTACAAAACTAGAGACGAATTGGAGTCGGTAAACGTCTGGGTGCTTTCCCAACGAATGCGGTTCACTGTAATTAATGCTAAAGGGGGACCCACCATATACATGTACTTGACTTAATCACTTTTTTGCTGGTGATTTAATACATGTAAATGTAGTCCATAGTGTAAGCAAACACTACATCTACATCTAAAACTAAAGGGAAAGCAATAATTATAGTCTATTTTACAGTTACAGTCGAGGCTGGAGTTGACCTTGTTTTGATACAACCCTTACTTCTCTATTATGTAGATCATGTTGTTCTTATGCAAACAGTTTTTTTTTAAACAAAATTTGCATTTATAAGTAAAGGAAGGAGGTTTAATTGTATCAACCTCAGCTTCACGTTCACTCAAAGACTGGGAGACTAAGCCCACAACTGTAAAATGGCCTATTGGTCTTGAATGTACATACTGTAAGTCAGTCCACATGTCATTCTCTCAGCAGTATAATCATTGTATTTTCCCCTCCTTGTTCTACCAACTATCTATTTCCATTAATAATACTATTATTTCATTTTACCTTCCTTTTCAACAATTATATTAATGTGCACCAGTTATCACGATATACCTGTTTAATAACTTTTAGTACTTGATACAGGTTTAGTAACATGAAGGTCTACATTGCTCAGGGTAGTGGGTTTTTAAGACTGGTAAATCAGATAATGATCGATATAGAAAATAATTTATATTGGCTGAAGAAAGAGATAGTTTCTGTATGAATTTTTTATGAATGGTTACATTGTAGGTACAGTATTCTAATGAGATGCAACAGTTGTATAAAAATTCTGTTCTTCCTATTTTTATCAGATGTTTACTAGACCCAAAGTTTTAGTTTGTATTAAAAGACAATTTGTGAACTTCAGTCTGTAAAATTTTTGTATAGTATGAATTATTGTGCTTTGTCACATTATCTAAAAGGACATGTGGCAAATAAATAGCTGAACAGGATGCATTTTTGCTGAAGAAGCCTTGATGATAAGAGTCTCAGCTCTTTGTTAGAGTCTGTGCAAAAAAGTGTATTTCCTATGCACGTCTTTACAAATATTGTAAACACTATATGGCTGAAAGTTTATGGTTATGATTATGATTATAGTTTGCAAAGAATTCAACAACATGTTTCTTTAGTGGTTTGGAAAGGGAAGGCATTACATAGATGGGTCTGTAATTATCCCAGCTGTTTTCCGCGCCATTCTTAAAAGGAAGCGTTACTTTTGCTAGTTTTCTTGATTTACTGTAAAAGTTCTCCTTTACTATCGAAGCAAAGACTGGAGAAGTAATTTTCATTAATCTAATTGTAATGTCACTAGGGTCCGTTGCTTTCCAAACGGTTATCCTGCATGAAAATTTTATTCTACGTTTTCTGGCGTTTCGTAGAAGTGTGGCATATACCGCCTTTTAGAGGCTTTGCAAATTCGAGAATGCTATATTTGCTGCCAGAGAAGTTTTGTCACTGCAATGGAAGCCTTTATGATCCTGNAACGGTTATCCTGCATGAAAATTTTATTCTACGTTTTCTGGCGTTTCGTAGAAGTGTGGCATATACCGCCTTTTAGAGGCTTTGCAAATTCGAGAATGCTATATTTGCTGCCAGAGAAGTTTTGTCACTGCAATGGAAGCCTTTATGATCCTGTTGCGAAGGCTTACTTGTTTGCCACGTTTGGAAGGTCCGAATCTGAGCTAAGCCTAATTTGTCATAAAGTATTAAACCTATGTAACTATAGAACTTGCCTTATAAAAAAAATAATAATATGTTAAGCTTCTTTATTGTAACTCCCAGGTCAAAGTGGTTGGTTAAAAGCCCCATTCCTTCAAATCAAGTACATGAAAAACTTCTTGAATATAGAGACTGGAATCTTCTTAAATAACATAGAACTTGTCTTAATATGGTCACCTAATGGTCACCCAAGTTATACATGAAAAAGTTGCTCCACTTAACCAGTGCTAGTGGGATTAATTGACAATACCCCAAGACCAATGGCACGCCCAACAAGAAATCAAAAGATTGTGTACAGTGGACATAATTTAAGAACACACTGCATAAAGTTCCAGGTACAACAGCATGCTGTGTAGAAGTTGGATTGAAGAAATAATTATTACTTTGCCTCAGGACCAGAATTTAATTTACCAAGGCAACTCTCTCCCACGCCATAACATAGCCCATCCCAAAAATGAACAGACAAGTAACTACTGTAACAAGGGTATACATGTAATGTACAATGTAGCCTACGTTGCGGATGAAACTTAGCTCCGGTTAAGTCTGTGTACGAAACAGTGCCAAAATCCATGTTCTGGGCCCCCACCAGTGTATCAGGATTTGAGTATGCGCCATGATTGGCTTGTTAAAAATTCCATTGTCGATCTTCCAATCAAGATGAACGGAAATTCGAAATGCACTTCTGGAATTCCTTGAGTCCGTTGGGAACCCAGAACACAGACATCAGTGCTGCTTCACAGACGTTACTAACCGAGGTTAAATAATACGTCTGTGACGCGAGCTATATCAGAGCCTGCTCTCCTATAATTACCACTGGTCCCTTACAGTGCTTTTTAAACCTGGCCATGACTATCATTGTATATTTTAACATTATTTCGTAGTCAGTTGAAGCTCCTAATGGATTGAGCACCAACACGTTTGGCCCTATAACGAGAAAACGACATAATAGCTTCTTGCCAGGGGTCAGCGGTTGGCTGATAAGCTGAGAAAATTCCAGAACCCAAATGGGAACCCCTATACAATTAATGGAGACCCAGCCTATGGCCTGACAAGAAACATACTGCCTCCTTATAGGGGAGTTAGATTGACAGATGATCAGCAGGAATTCAATAGTCAAATGAGCAAAGTGAGAACCTGTGTAGAATGGGGATTTGGGAAGATTTGTCAGCTCTTTGCATTTCTGGATTTTAAGAAAAACTTGAAGCTTTAGCTCCAGCCTATTGGCAAGTACTATGTGGTGGCAGTTATACTGGTCAACTGCCATACTTGCTTGTATGGTTTTCAGACTGGTGCATATTTTGATCTTGACCAACCCACGTTAGAACCCCATTTGTCAAACCATTAAATTCCAAGAACAGCGGTGTGCATCAAACATGTGTTTCTAAAGATTTTTTGCAAAATTCAAGAAATACAGGTACAAAGTTAACAACTTAGGCTTAGGCTTACAAACACTGGTGGTTCCAAATACAAAGTCTTGTATAAACTTAACTTCAGTCTTGTTTACCAATTCAAGATTTAATTTAAAATAAATAAAAGCTACTTTGTGTTTTTCAAAAGAGCAAAAAATGCAGTCTTCTCTTCTAACTCCAGTGTAACCAGTTCAAACAAGGAGGGTAGGAGAGAAATGGCGAAAATGGCAAAGGAAGTGCTCTCCTCATTTTAGCCTGCTATGCAGGCTAATCTCTGGTTAAAGTTTCTCTCTCTTTAACGTTTTCTTACAAAACTCAAAAAATACAAGTACAAGGGTAACACCTTATGAAAACTGGTGTTTCCAACTCCAAAGTCTTGTATCAACTCAACTTCAGGTTTTGTTCAGTGCCAATTCGAAAGCCTGTTCTTTAACAGAGCAAGAAATGTCTTTCTCTCTTTCAACTCTAGTTCAAGTTTCTCCTGTCTCTTTGCTGCTGTTTCTTCATATTTCTGTTTTTGGAACTCGAACTCTTTTTTTCTTTGTTCTGACTCAAGCTCCTTTAAATTAGCCTTCCTAACATTTTTCGTTCCCAGCATCTCTATGGCCGACAGCTTTGATGCCCTCTTCTTCTCTTTGACTGGTTTTGCTTTTGATGCTGGAGAGAGGATTAGTTGTCTAATTGAACTTAACAACTAAAATTATTACGGTGCTTGCTAGTCCTTGAAACAACCACCTTTGAGGAACAGTACTGTTGCTATATTTTGGAATTACATTCTTAATGTGTTGGCAAAGGCATGACTCATGAATATATATAACATATGGGCAACCTGAAATCAAATTGTGGCATGCAGCGAACCAAAATAATACCTAGAGCAACTGCTTGTCCAAAAAGGCAAATTATAAAGTAGAAATGCAAATATGTAGTCATCAAGATTTCAGGCAGTCAGTTTAAGTGGAATGGCATGCAAATTTTTACAGAATCAAATGTCTAGCAAACATCCTTCCCACCACTGGCCCATTCTCCTTGGCTCAGCCCTCGTGAGCACAAAAAGAGAACCTGAATACTTTTTCACTTCCTTTTTCTGTTCAGGAATTTGAACATGGAAAAGTGACTGTTCTAGAATGCCTGTAATAGAAAAGTAGTTGTTTCGTAATCAGAGCCGGTTTCATGTTTTCGCTTTAATGTAATTTTTAAATAATAAGTTTAATTTAATTAATTAGCTTAAGACAAAAAAAAANAGGCTAGAACGCGAGCAAATCAGGCAGATATTACTGGACTTGGAGCGATTGACCTCTGACACGAGTTTGAAATTAGAAAATATGTTTTTAAAGCGAGCGGAACGAGAGTTTCGGGTCGCGAGGCGGCCCAGCTAGCGATAAAAACGCGATGAGTCTTCGAACCGCGAGCCAAATTTTTATATTAGACGAAAGACTTCTTCGAAAGTCTAAAATATTACTTGAGAAGATAAACAACAAATCTCTGTCGGCGGTGCGGTCCGGAAGGAAATCTTATCTAGTCAATTTGACAGTTCTATTGTCTTTTGAAGAAAAAACAGATGACGCTCGCGCGTGCGCATAATCGGGATCTAGCTAGCCTGCGTGGCAGGCGCAAAAAGGGGAGGGGGAGGGGGGAGGGAGAAAGGGAAAAGGGAAGGGAGCGCCTGCTCTAAGAGCCTATGTTTTTGCATAACGCCTACCAGTTTTTCTAGTAATCCGATTACGCTTACTGTCAATCAAGTGTCGCTACACTCGCCATTGCAGAAAAACATTACACTCACGGACTAAAGAAATTCGCTTAGTTATTCAGATCCAGAAGGCACTTCGGAGAAAATTGGAACCCTTATTCAGCCGTAATAAAAAAAGCTTTACGCTTCAAAAGAGGTCAAAGGAATTGCGCTTGCATCAGAGGGCAAATCCTGCCGACCAGAAAACAATAACTACAGTCAATCGATATGTATGTCATGACCTCTCAGTGTGAAACATGCGGCTAAAATAACATTTGCTCAGTATAAATGCAGAACCTTCCAGAGCATAATCTACCCAGCAGATAAAAACAACTTTATTGGAATAAGCAGCATTTTGGCATGAGGTAAAACCACCCTCTTTTATTGCTAAGTTACATCGGCGAATGTCATCGTTCGATAAATTGGCTAAATCTTTCGCTGGGTAGCCCAACAATGCCATCTCCTGCAACTGGTCTTCGATAATACTTTTCAGTTGCGAAATGACGAGAATCGCCGCATTACCATTTAGCTCGTAGTTCTTCCCGCGTACAAACATTTGGTAAATTAAACTCTTGCCGTATCCGGTCCGCAAAACCGCCAGATCATCTCTGTTGGCTAAAAGAGTCCTTACTGCTGATTCTTGCTCTGGTTTAAAAACAGTTTCTCTACCACTAGATAAACTCACATCTCTCAAAGCACTCTCTACGACATCCACGTCTATCGCTGCCATCTCGACTGTTTGTTGATTTGTGAAACGCGCATTTCAATATGTTACTCATTACGGCTCAGCCAATCAGGAATTTGCGGACGCCAGCGTCCGCAGATATGAACAAAAGGGGGTTCTTAGAGCAGGCGTCCCCTCTCCCTCTCCCCAATCCCCCTCCACTTTTTCCCTTCCTCCCTATCCCCTACCCCCTACCCCTTTCGACGCCTGCTACGCAGGCTAGGATCTAGCAATGTTTCAGTACAAGATTATTCCCAACATCCTTACAACCAACAACAACCTTGATTATTACATCCAACTAGAGAGAATTTTTACTGTTTTATGGCTAATGGAGTGAAAAAAAGAAATTTTGACATAAAATGATAAAAGGGTGTGTAAGAGCTAAATTAAAAAATGCATAATTTGTGATTACGATGTTTGTCATCAAAGTTTTGCTGACAGGCACTCCTTTCGATCGCATGTTTTTACAGTTTCCTTAACAGTGGCTTTCTGGAAATCCCAGGCTTTCAAAACTGGTGGAACATTAAAGCTTATGCATCTATCTCATTAACAGATAGTCTGGAGTTTTTCGTGTGTATATATATTGTAAAGTGTCATACTTTTTATATTTTTGCTTAGTGATTCAAACTTGCCCACTGTGTCAACCAAAAATATTCGAATAAACTTACGTCTCAAGCTAAGCAAGGCAGCATCCCTCATTTCTTCAGCTTCCCGTTTATCCTCTTTCTCCTTCTGCTTTTTGTTCTCCTTTTCCTTCTTTTGCATTTCCTCGGCATCTTTTCGAAAGATCTTCGAAAGGTGTAGATGTCCTCAAGTACCTGACTCAGTTCGCAATACTCTTCTTCAGTGCCAGATCTACGCAGCAGAGAAAAAAACAGAGAAATTGAGTGCGCATTGTGAGCCGTCTCAAATAATAAACTTGATATTTGTACTCACCTCTTAAGCGCCTTTTTATCTTTCTCTATATACTTTGCCGTCAAGCGGTCTAAAAGCTTTCTAGATACACACGCCTGGCGTCAACCTTCCCTCAAATTTCCGTAACATAAAGGATTTGTATGAGAATACAGGTAATAGATTCCAGAAGATTAATACCCACATGAACTTTCAATAAAATTCGCTTTACCTTATTTAATGGTTTCTTCTTGCTTTCGATTTCTTGTGTGGTTATTTTCCCGATCCGTTGCGATTTAAGGGCTTTCCTTAATATCTATGGAAGCTCGGGATAAGTAATGGTTTTAGTTATGAAGGAAGAAATACATCGTAGCACCTGGGCCACTCTAGGCGACCCAAGGCCCACTTTAGTGCGACAGCAAGGCTACTATAAACTCACTTTTATTGTAGAAATACCTGGATACCTAAAAGAATACCTTTGTCGAACGTAGGTCCCAATATAATTCATTCAGATAAGACCATTATCAAACGAAACAAAGATAGCAAAGTGCTGAACCTATAACGAAAGCTAAAATCTTTGACAAAAGTGTTAAGAGAAATAGTCTTTGTCGTGTCTAGTTTTAAGATGAGGCTCTAACTAGGAAAATCCCCCCCCCTCCCCCGCCAAGAAAATAATGTTGAAGTCCGGTTAGAACATCTCGGCCCTCGACTGAACAACATTGACCAGAGATTGCTGGGGTGTTGTTGGAATGGTCATTACAGTACCAAACGCGCAAGATACATCTCAGATCTATCCGATTTTTAATTTATGGACAATTCTATGAGTGTAATTGTACTTTTAGTGTTAAGCCCCTGTCTACCCTAGTTCCTTTTCAGAAATCTATGTTTTGCTCTTAACAAAACTGTAATGGAAGTTCTGTCCATGTTACCGTATTACTGACCACTCCAGAAAATACCATAACATACCATAGTGCTCTTTGTTTGTCACCCCCAAATTTTGCATAAGCATTGTTTTCAGTTTCTCTTGGGGCCATTTTAACTCCCAAGAGAAACTAAAGACAATGCTTATGCAAAAGTTGGGGGTGACAAAGAAAGAGCATTATGGTATGTTATGGTATTTTCTGGAGTGGTTAATTGTATTCGACTGTCATCACCGAGCATTGGCAGACACACATCTGGCGAAAAACCTTTTGTACCCATGCTTTTCATTTTCACGGACATGTGTAACTCTCAATACGCTTGCTTGAATAACGCCAGCGACTATTTTCGGTATAGCGCATTTTAAATCATAGGGCTTAGGTTTCAATAGCTTCACCTTTCGAGATTTTTTTTTTAATTTTTGTTTTTTTAACACATCCTCTTTAGATCGTTTTATTTTGGACGCAAGGCCAAAACGCATAGGTTTTCAGGAATGCGTCTCCTGACGAATCCGAACGAAGTTGTGGCTCTACTCTCTGGCCAAAACGCACAAAAATACATGCGTTTTGAAGGAAAATCTCATTGATATGAAAGTCAATGCAAGTTTTCAGGAATACATCTCCTGTGTTCTCTATGCTCACTGTTGCGTCACATTCCGTGAACCAGGTCGCTGTTAGCGATCAGCATCAAAGGCACTGAGTAGTGATCTAAACTCTCAGTTTCGTTTTGGCAGAACTGACTGATAAGCGCACCGAGAAGCAAATGTTTTACCTGTTCGAAATGATCTTCGGGCAATTGTTATCACATCACTTGAAATTCACGAACAGTATCCCAACTCATCAGACATTTCCGTCATTTTGAAACATTAGCCACCGCAGGTATCAAACAACGATCATCTGGTACTTTGTTCCGGCACAATTGTGCGACCAATGGACAAAGGTTGAGCCTCATTTATGAATCATTAGCAGAGTTTAATTAGCACGCAGGTTGAAACATATGGACTTTACAGACGAGTATTGCCTAATCTGTTGCCATACCATCAAGGTCTTAATATTCAAGAAAAGGGTCCTCGAAGTACTTTTAGGTGGGTAATCCATTTGGTCTCTCATATTTTTGTTTGTCTGTTTGTCTGTTTGTCTGTTTGTATATTTCTCTGTTTTGTACAATAATTTTGATGTAACGATTTTCTAGTATGGAGGTCACGTTTTTCACAAGAAATTTATATATTTTGAGGTTAATTTCAAAAATGGGAGTAAGGGACGATTCTGGTAGATCTTTCATCGGCTCTTTTATATTATAAGGATAAGTAATTGTTTTACAATTAAGTGGACTAGAACATTTCACTGAAAAAGTGCAATTTCTTTAATGGCACACTATGCCAACATTACAAAACAGTATGAAATTAAAAAAATGTAACATTTTGAACAACTGTAGCTTACTGTTACACGCATAATGTCCTGCCATACTTCATTTTATCGTATCTGTTAATACGTACGCGCCCTGTGATTGGTTAGTTTAGCGGGACGTATTTCAGTGTGCGGACCGTAAATTCAAGTTTGTTTTTGCTTGTAATTCGTGAAAGAAAAAGATTGTAAAGCTTTTCGTTTCATGTAATTTTCGGCTGTTATGGATAATTTACCGTTACGTCAATGGTTATTAAACACATTAATCAGACAAAGCAGAGTGCAGTAGAAAATATGAGACAGTAACACTTTATAAACCAGGGATTAAAGTTAGTTTTTCCGTTGTGCTACTACATACTTTCCTAGAAGTAATAATGGTCAGTGGTTGCCCCTAAGTAACAAACAAAATTCCAATTGAAACTACAACTTCTTTTACTGACCGAGATTAAGAATAAGGCTCGTAAAAACAAACTAAATGCCCGTATGTTTCATTAAACCTCTAAGTAAATACTGGTATATTAAATTTTCAGAGTCTTTTGACGTAGTTCCTAGTTACCCCTTTAGAGTAAGGAGTGCCACCAAAGAGGTAAGAAACCGAAATTGATCTAGTTTTTTTTTATCAAAGATTTGAGTTGAGTGCCATTGCAAATTTTATTGAAATTTTGTGGTTAGGGATTTTATGGAAGGTCTAAATGGAGTCCGCCGGCAGAGTTTTTAATATTTCTTTGTTTTTAAATGTTTTAAGTGGCACACGACTGGCATGCAAATTCCATTTGAAACAGCATTTAGTTCTTGCTGTAATAGTTTCGACAGCCGATTAATGCAATAATATAACGTAACTGTGGAATAGAGTCTATCGTTTTCTGAAGAAGAGCTTATTCATTGGAAAATCTACAAAGAGAAAACAGACGTGCATAGTCCTAAGCCCTGAACAAGTTATGAGTCAACGATGTCGATTTTGGTGTCTCACAAGAAATTGTTGAGGCCTTTGACTGATGATCGTCTTATAATCCTCGTCTTACGTATGGATGGAGAATTGTCAGCGCCTACCGCTTGTAGCAACTACCTGAACCCCTAAGCAGTATTTAATCGCAAATAAATGTGAACAATATTTTACACATTAAATCAACTTAACGTCTCGAAAAATGCAATGGTGCTTGAATTAACGTAGAGACGACAGCGACTTCGTCGAATTTTTTCATTAAAATCTCCCTACTCCTCGGACATCTAACTGGAAGAAAGTGCCTTTGGGCCCACATTTGAAAGGGTCCTTCGGGCACGTCATTTTAGGCCTAACAGTTACCACGGAATCACAGAATTAACTGAAACATCAAAGTAATTGTTTTTAACTATAGTCAAAACAAGGGGAATACAAAAGAAGACAAAACGGAGCTCATACGGTGAAAGTTGAAGAAGTTCAAGATGGGGGTGTGAAAGTTTCTAATTTGCGAAATTGCCTCCGAAAACGTTTCTAGAAGTACATCACCACCAGCCGGAATTTGGGCCTTTTTAAAAAAAAATAAAAAAATAAACAATATATATATACACTGAGGTTAACCTTATAGGGGTTCCATCACAACATACTCATGCAGCATGAGTCTTTAGAGGAAAGTGTTGTCTTAAAACTACAAGGGAAGTTCAAATAAGAACTAGCATAGGGATAAAGAGAAATAAACAACTTAATAATAAAGTAGATATATTACATTCGTATGGCCGAAAGATTTATTTTTGGATCTAGCACTGTCATTAAAAAGGTAGGAAATTATATATTAAATTTCCAGCATTTTATTTGACGATCGAAATAAATTTCAATTAATCTTCATCTTAACAAGTGCTTTTGTAAACAGAGAACAGAGATAAAATATAATAATAAAGCTCTTAAAAACGAAGTAAATGTCTGTATGTTTCATTTAACCTCTAAGTAAATACCGGTATATTAAATTTGAGGAGGTTTTTACCGTGGTTCCTAGTTACCCCCATTAGAACTGGGAATGCCATCAAAGAGGTATGAAATCGCAGTTAATCTAGTTTAGTTTTATCGAAGACTTAGACGTTTCATTTCGGCTTCAAGAATTAAACAACAGCAAAGCGCTGTCAATAGTCACCATCTATCTATGTTATTTTTAGATAACAATGAATTCTTTATTTTAGTATTAAAAAATAAAACAAAAAAAAAGCTTCATCAAGCCTCCTCTCCCCCCCCCCAGAAATTTTTGTTAGGGTGTGATTATTCTTTAAGTGTACATTTTTGAACCCCCATAATTTCTTTTTTAAGGACTTACCCACAACGGGAAAAGGGGGTCTTAAAAAAAAAAAAAAAAAAAAAAAAAAAAAAAAAAAAAAAAATATATATATATATATATATATATATATATATATATATATATATATATATTGGTTAACCGTAAAAGGGTACTATCAAAACATACTCTTGCAGCATGCGTCTTTAGGGGTAGGTGTTGTTTCAAATTACAAGGAAAGTTCAAATAAGAACTAGCAGCGGGATAACAGATAACAATAAAGTAGATATATTACATTTCCATGGTCGAAACA